GGGGGTCAGAAGGAGGAGGAACAACACCAGCAGCAGCACCACCACCAACACACACAACACAAGCGGGAGAAGAGAAAGAGAAGCATCGCGCGGCGCCCGCGCGTCTGTGCGCCGCTTGGTCGATAGAAACCAAACAGAACAGCGGCAGGAGAAAAGAAATCACGGCGGCAGGCAAAGAGCGACGCCCTCGTCGCCCCAACAGCAGGGCGGCCCACCCGCCCCAGTTAGGCGCCACGCAGCCGCGCGCGGAGAGGGGGAGGAGGGGTGGGTTGAAGGGCACACAGACCTTTTGCGGACTTTTGCTATACTCGCAATTTCATAAGAATAAAAATATATAAAAAGAAATTGGCAGTTTGAACTTGCGCACGACAAAGAAAAAAAAAGGTCAATTACAGTAACAGACAAAATTGTTTTCGCTTCGCAATTTCGTAAAGCTGCTACAATTGTCGTCGCAAGGTTTTTAATAACAGTAGTACGTACAGAACAGTTTTCACTCTCAGACACAGATTAGTGGCTGCTACCGCAATTGGCTTAGGGAAAAGGAGGAGACTGACTGACGGACGGAGTCACCCAGGTCGCCCCGCCCCGCCGCGTCCAGTCGCCGTGCACGTCGCGACTCCTGCCCTCTGTCGGGGCCGAGCGGACAGGGGGCGGCTCGTGTCTATTATATGGGGTGGACGGCACGCCGCGAGGCCCACGCGAGGAGGCCGCGGAGTGTACAACAGGCCCCCTCCAACGCCCCCAACCCCGGCGGGCGGGCGCACCGCACCGCGCGCGCCCCAGGGCCACCCATTCGATAATCGATCACACACACACACACATTCGCGCGCGCGCGCACCCCGCGTGGCGGGGTGGAGGGTGAGCGATTGTGTGTCCCCGGCCGGGCCGAGCCGGCACCGATACACACACACACCGCGCCACACTGACCCAGAGCAGCACACCATCTACTAGTGGCGTGACCAGGACGTGGGGAGGGAGGACGACGTCGTGTATGTCTCCGTCACACTCGCACGCCCGCGTCGTCGCCCGTCCGTCTCGCTACGCCACCGAGTGGAGCAATAACAACAAAAGCGGTGGCAGCAGCAGCAGCAGCAGCAACGACGACGACGACTTTTGGCGAGTTCGTTGCCCCACTTCATCATCACGAGCCTCTGGGCTGCCACTGGAGAAACAGGGACGCCTATTTCGGGCGTCGCGCGGGGGGGCGTGGTGGGGCGGGCGGCGGAGGGAGTTGCAATGCATCATCAGCGTGCAAACAGCAGCAGCTGCTAAGGGTGGCCCGAGGCTGGCCGTCAAGTGCACGAGGCGACAGGGGACAGGTGCCACCGCCACCGGCCACCGCGAGGACTCGGCCGAGGCGCTCGCGGGGCGGCCGCGAGACTATGGCTGTGCAGCCAGGTGCACGGGGAGGTCCAGGGACCTGCTGGGCGCGGCGGCGGCAGCGCGGCGGGCGGAACGAACCAAACGAAATGGAACGGGCCAACAGTCGGGCTGGGCCAAAGCTGGGCGAGCGCGCGGGCAAGGGCCGGGGGGCAACGGGAAGGAGGGGCCGGGCCGGCAGGCGCAGCGCGCTGCAGCAGCGAGGTCCAAGCCTAGGCGCGGCCGACTGCTGCTGCAGCCACGTCGACACGGCCCAGCGCGGGCGCGACGAACCCACAGGGGGAAGAAAACATTTTCAAATAACTAAATAGTAAGCATCGCGGCTGTCTCTTGCAGAGCTGGCGCGCCGCCGCCGCCGCCGCCGCCGCCGCCGACACCCGGCTGGCTCCCACCTGCCGAGTTTATTGTCTTCGCGAGCCAATCGCGAGCACCGAGACGAAACCGTCGCGTGCCAGAGCAGCAAAAGACGGGCGTGCAGACACTGCAAGACCAAAGGTTCAAACGCCCCAGTTCAGGGAGTTTTACTACTGCAAGAACGGGACGGGACAACGACGACGACGACGTCCGCAGCAAAGAACGTCGTGGCGCCAAAAAAATGAACACGAACGCACGTTACAGGCGCGCCAGATGGCACACTTTAATTCATCAAAACTTGTAGCGGTGTACGGTTCTTTTTTCGGGGAGGGCTTTTGCTTGCTGTTTCCCCCGGCGACGTGAGCCGCGGCGGACATGTCGTCGTCCTGACGGGCGGCCTCGCACTTTCCACAGGAGGGCGGGCGGCCACCACCACCTCGGGCCGCGCGCTGCACGGTCCGTCCGCCAGCAGCCGCGGTGCACGTACCGACACGGCCGCGAGCGTGCGTGCGCACATCAGATGGCGGGCCAACAACACTCCCTCGCACATACACAGCAGCAGCGGCGCAACTTTTTTGTCACTCTCCGCAACACAACGGGCCCCGCCGCCGCTGCTCCTGGCCTGCCTGCTGCACGATCCCGCGCGGCCGCGGCCAGAGAAATCACGCCGTGCGTGCGTGCTGCATGCTGAGGGGGTTCTCCTCGCAGTTCTTTCACCGGCCGCTCCACTGGGCTGGACCGGGGGACGGGACGGGACTTCCCCGTGCTCCTCTGAATTTCATTCCAACTCCTCGCCGACGTGCCTCGGGGGCGGGCGGGGCGGGGAGGCTGGTGTCGGCAGCTCAGGACGTACCTGTGGCCTCGCGCGGTCGCGTTATTGTGGGTAAATAAAAACAACAACAAGCATCCCCGCTGCTCGACCTTTCAGATCACTGTAGTTTTTTCGCGCTGAGATCATTTTTCTTTCAGCGGGCAGCTTTGTCCCCCTCTACCATACCCCATCATCACGGTGGTCCTGTGCGACGGAGAGAAACTCGCCGGGAGAGGGAGGGGGTGGGGGAAGGGGTCACCGCGATGCGCCCGGCTGCGCTGACCGCGCCGGGGTCTACTGACCACTGGGCGACCACCACCAGCCGGTGACCCTCGCGCTGCTCCCCGCGGGCGCGGGCCCCCCACAGGCTAGCCTCAGCTTGAAAGGCCTCAGGGTGACCCTGGCGGCTCAGCTGAGCTGAGACTCGACTGGCTCGTCATCAAGAGCCCCGCTCGGCAAACGGGCCGTTTAGGAAAGCTGGCCGAAGCCGTCCTGCCGTCGGGCCCCTCCGTCTGTATCAATGGGGCTGATAGGGTTTTTTAAGGGCCATTAATTCGACTCACTGACTCACGACCATTGTTGACAGATTATCAATGACTCTTGTCTGTCAGAAATGTGGGGGGAACTGGACTTGCTGCTGCTGTGAGTCACTCCACTTCGCCTCTTATCTGCCCCTGAGCATGGCCAGGGCCTCTGGGCCTTGCTCCCACCACATGCCTCCTGCATGGGCAGCCACAAGTGCACACACTTTGTTGATGCAAAAACACTAGGGCCTAATCAAGTCTATCACCAAATGTTGCATACTCTTCAAAAAATAAATGCTTATCTGTTCCTCCAACTTTGCATAACTACAATGGGGCCTGCCTTTTCGTGGGCTAGACTTACGTAAGTCTAAGAATATTGTGCTGACTTCATTGAAGATATTTAATAGTATTTTTGATGCAATTTACAACAAAATCAGTCATTGATTTAAAACTTATGTGCTGTAAAGTAAGACTTACAAAATTAATATTAAAAAACGTGAAACATTTTTTATTAATAGATGTGCATTTAAAGAGCTATAGCAAACAGCTGATATCAACAATCTGTCCTATCAATAGAGTAAACAAGGCTCAGCTGTCCTAACAATCACAAAAATTCAATACATCTAACAGTAAAAGTCTTTAAGCGTTCTGAATTGAGCTTTTATTCAGACTGTAGACTAACAACATTGACGTGAGAAGTTCACTACAAAATATTTACTTGGGGTTTCCAAGGACATTAATCCTTTGAGTATGGAAACCTACACGAGTATTATCTTCAGGGTGGTACAGTAACCCCCCCAAACACTTCAGTGCAAAACAGCCGGAGACACGGCGTAACTGCGACGCGCAGACAGAAACAGACAAAATACATCGAGCCGAAACAGACACGAAACAAACGTTCCGAAAATCCCGGACGGGTACCAGGATACCGTTACCACTCACCTGCTCCCAAGTGGATGGGGAACGCAGAGCATTCTTCAAGTAATCCCAAAGCCACGATCAGGTTGTGGAGGAGCCATGTGTGTTCCATACTCCGGCACTTTTCACACGCGAGACTTGCGATACATAATAGGACAACACTGGGACATTAGTTGCGGGGCCGAGCCAGCTAGTCTGGCTGGATGGACCAAAGGGAGCTCGCCGTGAGCGGGCTGGGCTGGCCAAAGGGGACACTCGCAGAGGTTACCGCGGTCTGCACAAAAACACACACGCACTCCTGCGCACTCGAGGGCAGATCAACATGCCGTCATTCGACAACAACAAGGCGATTTGAGCCAAATACTGTGTAAGACCAAAGCGGAGGCCGTTGACGTGCGATCCTCTCACTCGGCCATCTTAGACAAAACTGGCCGCTGCACTCTGGTGGCCATTTCCACAACTAACAGCTGCTCCGCATGGCGCGGCCCTCTCGAAGCAACATCGTTCTCGTCCGTTAGGCAAGATTGCCAGAGGGCCACAGAAAGGGAGTGCGGGAACTTACAAACGACTGAAAGCTTGTAAAAAAGTGTTGCAGGTGTCCTGATAAGTTCAAGTGAGTAAAGATAGAAACCAATTCATTTTGTAGTCGTTGTCTTTATTGCGAGCCTAATCACAAAAGTAAAACTGCATGGATTTTATCATATCACAATTTAATAAGAAGACTGCATAACATTTTTTAAAACCTGGCAAGTTTCATTGGACAACAAAAATCACTTACGGGTAGGGTGGTAGACTTCCCACCCAGAAAAATATAACAAAACAATCTTGAGCATTAAAAGACATGATCCTGATAAATAAAAGATTACAAAATGAAACAGAAAAACTTTA